TTTGGGCCAAAAGTGTAAAATTTTAGGAATATTTGGATGAAATTTGGGCAAAAAGCGTAAAAATTTGGATTATTTTTTCTTATTATTATTTGGATCTTTATATACTATTTAAATCTTAATTAAATTCCATTATAAGAGTGATTCTTATTATTTTTTTCATCTAATTCATAGATGACTGTCGTCTCAATATATGGTCTCCATTTGATAAACCTGAGGCTCCTCTTATCCATTCAATCCCATCCGGTCATACAGCAAACATTTTTTCTGCCCGTTTCATGTCTCATACAAATGATCGTCATATAGTTTCTTGCTCTGCAGATGGAATAGTCTTGTTTACTGATTTAAGTGACTATATAACAAAATCTCCTGCTCACAGTTGGCATCCTTTCCCTGCTTTTCGTTGTCATGACGGAATGGCGTAAGTATTATTATTATTATATTTTTTTCAATATAAAAATTTATTTTATATATTGCAATTTTTATTTGTGCGTTGACATTATGGCATTGTTATCAGAACCAACTGCAATACATCTTGAATTCAATAGACATAAAAAAAACGTTTAGAAAAAGTTCGAGAGATCTTAAAGAAAATAGAGTATACCTGAACCAGATAATATGAGATCACCATTGTTGTTCCAAACAACGGTGTTAACACAACCTTCGTGACCTTTTAAACTTTCAAAAGTTCTAAGCCTCTTTACAGTATATGGATCAGAATGAATAGCCTTTGTATACTGTAAACGATGGGGATACAATTCCCGCGTAGTGAGTAGATCAACAATATGTGACTGAGAGTCATAAGTAAAACGTTTATGCTCCATGTCGAAAAAGTAGAAAATCTTAGGAGTTTTCTGCACTAATCATCCGGACCTCTAATGTATTGAGAAAAGGTTGGACCAACATGTGATTATGTGAAAATCAGTGATTAATTATGATAATCTATTCTTATACGTATCGGTATTACACTTAGAGTGTCCAGGATTATGATCCGGCATAATATCCGCATAATTTGCCTTATAGCGCATAAAATATTCGATTTGCATAATTTAAAGAAACACATAATCTGT